AATGCAAACACATCCAGTCAATCCATTGTGGTCTGTGGGTCAGTTCTCTACATAGTGATCAGGAGGACCTGGGTTCAATTCCCTTGCCTGCCCATCTTTTTCTCGCAAACACCATTTGGCAATAAAGCTAAATATGACAACAAATTATTTAATTTGCACGACTGCCCACATAGCTCAGTTGATTTGTACTATGTCAGCAATGTGAGCGATCGCTGGTTTGAATCCAGTATGTTTAGTTAGATTTTTGAATGCTAGTGAAGACAGAGCTCCTATGAATAGGACTTAAATCCTATCTCTTGTGTGAAGACACTCGTGGTACAGTGGACAAGACAGTGCGCTGGGAACTCAAAGATCGCAAGTTCGAATCACGGATTGGACACTCCTCCAAAAGACATAAAAGACGTTAAAAACATAAACAGCGGATTCAAAAACTCAAGTCAGGAAAACAGAACATAAGAATACTACCCCACATGGAAGCCAGTCGAAGTCGTTGAAGAACGAACACAGTTGACAGCTGTAGGTCACGTGCAACAACAGACACGAGGAGCATGGCTGCTCTCCAAATGGGTCCCTTCTTTTGTATTGACCCCCTAAGGATTGCTAATCCCCCTTTCTAACTCTTCCCCCAAAAATAATATATCGCCCCTTTTAAAATGTATTGACCCAAAAATTAATGAATATTCATGAGCACAGAAACTGCTACGTCATGAATAAATTAGCATAGTTTAAAAAAAAGTTGCATAAAGTGTAGGTACTCCTTCTGGAGCTCTGCCGTTGCTTGCTTGACAAACTGAAGAATAAATGATGTCAATACAAGATTAGCGAGTACACAATACACCATTCCTATAAATTGCGCCCTCTAGTGATGCAATGCTGTTTCCAATTGACAACTGTGTTTGCTTATGTAGTTGTTCAACGACTAGACTATAGTAAAATTCCTGAAAAAATACTCTTTATTAAAGAATGCCTACAGAACAAAATGATAATGATGCTTTGATCGGTCATAGAAGCATTTCGTCACTAGAGGGCGCAATTTAAAGGAAACATTTATAGACAGGAGTATATTCACCATGTTCTTACCTTAATAGCTAGAGTGTATTTGCAGCTGGTACTATCTTTATTGTCTTCATTGACTATTTGACCAACACGGGAAGGAACATGAGATATTTTTACAATGTTCTCTTCAACATCCAAAGCACTTTGATCTTCAACATTATCCCCACTGTTAGAATGAGTTGAATATAATTCAATGTCTTTGAAAAATCTTTTTGTAATCTCATCCTTCCCAACAGATATATCCAAATTAGGTAACTCTTCATTTATTTCTATCACTGCTGTTTCCATGGTGACCACAATATCCATTTCACTCTTCGCTTTGATGACTATGAAAGACGAATCGGTATCTGAAATACTGTCCTCATCAGTTGACAACTGATGTGTTGCTAAGGCAGCAGTATCGTCTTTGCCAGGTGATGAGAAAGATGTTGGGCTTGGCATACCAACAAAAGAGTCTTTGCTCTCCAAAGCATCATCACCGCTCTTTGATACTGCAAAAACATGGTTGGTTTCCATGACAACAAAGGATTCAGTCAGTTCTAAACCACAAGATGGTTTTAAGACAACAAATGATGTTTCTGAATCTGACGAACTGAATTGACAGGATACGACGACACACTCACTGTCCGCATCAACTGTATTCGGATTTAAAACATCTATTTCAGTGGCTCTGAGAGACCCACCGGGACTTCCCGCACAATTACCCACACTGTTTTCATCATCTGAAACCCCATCAGTTACTATGGTGTCTTTATTTTCATCAGTTGTAATCACAGTGATCTCATCATCCGATTTATTATCTTCATTATCATTACGAAGTCTAGCCTCATGTACTGCTGCACTGCAACCCTTACCAATGAGACGACCAAACTCGTAGTTTGAGACGCTGCTACCAAATTCAGTTATGTCATCGTTTTCACTGTCGTGGCACTGGTTCTTTGTAAACATTCCCTGAAATAATCAATATGCAAATTAATTAATATGCAAAGATGTGGCCCAAAAACTAATTATGTATGTGTATTACCCCAAGGTACTTATCTACTAAATTTGGTCAAAATCTATTATTAAGATTTTGCATACACGGGCAGACAGACTCATTACCTCCCTTGAGTGCTTAGCGGGGGGGGGGGGGGGGGTAGCTGGTATAGTTTTACAGGAAATAAAAAGGGCTTTTTACAATTTACAAGGAAAAAAAGACGTTTTTACAGTTTACAGTGAAAATTGAATTTTGCAGTGAATTGTGTCATCTAGTCGTTTTACAGTTTCGAAAATGTAATTTCCCTGGATTATTCTCCATGACTTTTTTATTTGGATGTAAATTCTTGTACATACCGAGAAAAATTACACATTTTTACAGTGAACGAAAAAATAGTTGATTGATTACGTACATTGTACATCTGCCTGTGATTACAGAATAACGGAATTTATTTTTTCAATTTACGTTGTACGAACAAAAAAATATTGGAATTACGTTGAATGTCATGAAAATAACCCTTGCCCCCTCCCCCCCTCCCCCTCTTAGCGCACACGGGAGCTAAACATTTGCAACAAGTATTCGTATTAGTCATATTCTCATGCTGATGCAACAATCTCGTCACCTTGCAATGAGCGACACCGGCATTCTTACCCTTATCGCTGAACACACATCGTCGTTCCCGTTTTTCCCTCCGTTTTCAGCTATCGATATAGTGACGCCAATGAAAGCAAAAATAGGTAAACTTCCTCGACATCCCATTAGACGAGATATGGCATTTCTACGTGCCTCCGATGCCAGGCTTCTTGTTACACAATGAGAGTACAGGCGAGCAAAACTAAACGTCGGCAATGGGTTATGTTGTTGTACAAAGTGATGTCCAAACGCCCGTCCTTTCTGGGCGATTTGCTGCTTTTTGGCAGATATTGCCACTTGTACGACATCTCTTCCTTTCCCATGTTGAACTACGGGAACGCTCTTAGGCCAAAACTTGCCCAATTTCGTCAAAACTGCACGAAACGACATGGTTGGTAATGAAGCACCACCAACAACTTCCTGTCGTCACAGCGACAGCCGATCCTCCGACCCGGGCGGGGATCGGACAGTTACAAATTATCCCCAGTTACTGAATGCTTAGTCCTTTATATGTTCGTAAACTTATTTGCCGAATCCGTTGGTATTACACTGTCCTCGGGCCCATAAAATGAGTCCGCGCAGACACACGAATGTACGGTCTTCTGGTTGCCGATACGTAAATACCCGGGTAATACGTCATGTCTATTTTTAGAACCTATTCTGTGACGACTTAGCGTTGGTGGCGCAGTGTCCGG